AACGATGAAGGGCAAAAAGAACCGCGTTTATCCTGAACTAAATGTAGGGGATGAAGTTAAGATATTTAGGAAGCGAAAACCAAATGAAAAAGAAAGAGTGGGAAATTACGGCCAAAATATTTATACCATAGAAAGCATTGAAAGCAAATTAGGTCAAAATTATTATAGGGTTGAGGGCAATAATAGGCAATATTTGCGATTTGAGTTGTTGAAGTTGCGGTGAGCTGTTGCTTGTGCATGTGTAGTTCTGCCATGTGCTCGTGCATGTGTCGGGATCAGAAACGAGGTTATGGTGGTCATGAAGCGGCATGCTCGGTGTTCTGCAGTCCGGTTTAGGGTTTAGGAGTTATGTTAGACTTCAGCCACGAAACTTCTGATAGGCTCTGGGACTGCTGTTTTTCTGCGTGTTTCGGCTCTGGTGCCAAGGTGGAGCACTGTCGTAGTTTTCTGCTACAGTTGTTGCATGACGAATCCATGCCGAACTGTCCACATAAGCACAAACCGACACCCTTTATCCTAAACCCCTGGACCTTGACCCTTGCTCGTTCGTCGAACACGCTAGCGTGATGGCTTCCAAGCGGTCCCGCTCCCGGACTCCGCCTAGGGTGGCAAATGTGGGACAGCTCTGTCGAGATGTAAGTTCTGAACTACACCGCACAGCATGTCTTTCACTTCCAGCACTGACTTGCCGCAACGATGACTGGAAGAATGCCCCTAACTTCGTGGCGGCTGTCATGCGAAACTTGGAATGGCATCATCGGTTGATGGGTTTGAAATGTGCGCAAGCTTCTGGCAGGGAGGCAGGAAAGGACCTATCCATTCAAGAGATAGATGAAGCGCTAGGCCGATGCGATGTGACCATGGAAGATGCCGAAGTCTTTTTCAACAGCGACCCGCCCGACATGCAGCGTCTGGCAGATGTCTTAGAAGCTGTCTTGTCCTCAGAAGAGCCTCATAAAACCGCGAGAATGAGCTTGCTGCTTTCAGTTAGTCGGTTTGGTGCTCACATCTACGAGAGCTACGCAGTACCTGTGCAAACAGCAGAAGTATGCGAACTCGAAGAGCTGAAACGCAACAAGCTGAATACTCTCGCAGGCAAAGCTTGGGAAGTGCTTGGACAGTTGGCAGGAGGGGGATTTGCTTCAACTGGCGTCATGCCTCCAGTTTTCGCAGTCAAGAATCTGGAAGATATCCGCGGCTTCGTTGGACGAGATTGCATCTACATCCGGCATGAGCTTGTTCTGGGCTTGCATGATGCAGAACCCTGGCGTGAGCTCGAGCTGTTTACGCTTTTGTTGCATGAATTTGGACATTATGGAAATCGCATCAAAAACGACGATCTCAATTACCATTCGCCATTGAAGATGAAGCTGACCGATCCAATGCGCCAACATGCTGCATATGGCTCAAATGAACCCAAAGGGCCAGAATGTGGTTGTGTCGCAGAGCGTTGTGCGTTCTGTTGTCGACCAAAGTTTCGCGGTGTCAGGACGCTGCCGCCAAAATTACAAGGCTTGTTGAGCTGGCTCCGTGACCGTGGCGATCGCCCGCAATTCCCACTAGATTTGAGAAGCTTGGTGAAATCACGTGCTGATCATGTCTCGGGATTAGACGTGATCGAGGATAGCTGGGAGTGAGGCTTGGTCACTCACGTTACGCTTGCTGAAGCCATGTTTCACGTAGTAGTGCGTCTGCTGACAGATCCGAATGACAGCGTGCAAAGACCGTGAAGGTTGAAATTGCCAGCGTGCCAGAACATGTAAAGTAAGCTAGTGTGTGTTCACACGATTGGCCCTGTTTTCCTTAGGTTTTTAATGCCGTAGTGTGCCTAACCGATCGAGATGGTTGGCCATGGGGATTGGCGTGCGGTTTAGGAATGGGGAGTTGATAGGGGAGTGTTTTTCGGTTGGATCAACCGGTCAATGAGTCTAAAGGTTTAGCAATTAACGTCTAGGGTTTAAGGTCAAAAGTCTCTATAGAGGAAGGGCCTGGAGGTGGGCTTAGGGTTGGGTCTTCTAGTTGGTCTTTCTAGCGATGTCTTGGGGTGGTTCTGGTAGGTGGATTTGATTTGAGTTGGTCTCGGTGTGCATCTTTGGAGTGGTTTTGGTAGGTGTATGGTGTATCTGATTGGGTTGATCTAAGCATGGAGGTTGGGATGGTTCTGGTGAGTGTATTTGGATTTTGGCATAGGGGGGTGTTGGTATATGAGGTTGCATATGCTACTTTTCTATGGGGTTATACATGGTTTCATCATATGTTTTTGTTTTATCATTTGGGGCTTACTATGGGTGTATTTTGTGGGTTGAAGGTTGGGCTATAGGTTGCTGTGGTTTGGGTGCTCGGGCGTGGTGCATGACTAGAAAATGGAAATGGTCCACCCTATTCCTAAACCTTACTCCTATTATAGATATATTACTTAAGATGACCATTTCCATTTTCTAGGG